CGGCTGCCAAATTGGAAGAACTTCGCCTTGGCGCTGTTTCACAGGGCAAGGAGTGGCTCAGTCGTGCTTTGTACGAAATGCGAAAAGAGGAGATTCGAGTCCTGGCTACTGCGGGTGGTGTGCAGACACATTCCAACCGGAATTGGCTGCCTGTAGCAGAGCTGCGCAACTCGTTGATGAAAGTCTTGGAACCCTCCACGGAGGTTGGGTTCAACCAAAAAATGTGTTGTGACATGAGTTGTTTTTGTGACCGAATTAGCATGTTTGTGAGACATGGCATCATGTTTGTGACATACCAGGGATCGACAAACAAATATCTTCAACATTTGTTGCATCTCTTTAGGTCTCTGTAGGGGCTGTCCGTGAGATCTCGAGAATTGCATAGTGATCATGCCTATGTTCGTTTGTGATGTAGTGGATCTATGTGTTATGTTTTCATTGATATGCATGAGCAGCGGGAAAAATTTGTAGGGTGATGGTTGTTTTGTGGTGGCGGTGTGTTCCATGCTGTAGGTGGAAGAAGCATCGGCTGCCAAATTGGAAGAACTTCACCTTGGAGCTGTTTCAGAGGGTGAGGAGTGGCTCAGTCGTGCTTTGTACGGAATAGGAAGAGACGAGCTTCGAGTCCTGGCTACTGCGGCTGGTGTGGAGACACGATCGGGCAACGCTTGGCTGCCTGTAGCAGAGCTGCGCAATTCGTTGAAGAAAGTCTTGGCGACTTCCATGGAGGTTGGGTGCAAGTTTGTGAGATTTCGAGAATTGAATTGTAGACTGTCGGCATTGCAAAAACGTCAAGTGCGGCTGTTTTTTTTTGTTTTTTTTTTAGCAGGAGCCGTGTCACGATGATACCCTTGCATCTGGTGCAAGTGTCTTGTGGGGCTGGCTGAAACGATGTTTGGAAAGTCCTTCGGCGCCTGATACTACATTGCTTCGAGATGCTGTTCCAGAACAAAAAGATCGCATGCGTATTTTAGCGGTTTTGGCCGACAAGACCATGGGTCAGGTGGAGGGATTGCATCTTTCGCTTGCTTCTTTGGATGCTCGTGTGGTGGATGCGACGTTGCCGCTTCTTGCTACTTTCGATGAAGTGCAGCAATCGTGGCCCAGCAAAGCTGTCACGGATTCTGTTGATTTATTAGATTTACCAGGTTACTTCGCCTCCATTGGCATGGAGCATTTGCTGCGGCATCAGGTCGTGGCATTGTTGTCCTGTGTTTTGCTGAGTGTATCGGAAGAAAGACGACTTCAATGGTGTCGTTTGGTGGGGTTCACCATCGACGCGGACATGTTGCAAGTGGCGAGCCGTTTGTGGGATGTCCACACACTTACAGCTGCCTGTGAATGGGACAGTTCTGGTGGTTATGAGGATCGTGACAATGTGGTGGAGGTGAGTGGTTGTCGAAACTATTGTATGGCCTGCGTTAGTTTTTTTTTGTCGTGTCTTGCCGGTTCGCGGTTGTTTGGTCTTTGCGTTGCTTGCAGGTGGTTCTTGGCATCCTGTGGGGCACGAAAGCGTTGGTGGTGGATGATGAGGGCGAGGTGCGCCGGCGTCGAGGTAAGTTGGATGCTGCAGACGCGACGTACCTGCGATGCCTGATGCGGAGATATGGTTGGGAAAGATTTGACCAGGACGTGGAGGTGTGCTATTGGTCCGAATGTTTTCCATCTGCTCGCTATGGGAACAAGAAGTGTTTACAGTTTGCTTGGCTTTTGCTGACGCAGTTACTTCATCCTCGCCAGACGCCTGCATTGCAAGGTATGCGCTCACGTCACGATCCAGTGACGGTCGGAGAACTCCGTGATTCCAGGACGAGTGCGTGTCGTTGTTGTGTGTTTTGTGTACTTTTCTTACCTTTGTCACCTTTGCGAATAACAACATCATGGTACCGAGTTTTTTTTTGGCAATTTATGTGGGTATTTGCATGCTAAAATGAATTATCATGTGTTATACACGGCATCATGGTACCGAGTTGTTTTGTCCCATTTATGGGGAAATGTCCATAATAAAATGACATGACATATGTCATAGATGGCATCATGTTTGTGAAATACCAAGGATCGACAAACAAATATCTTCAACATTTGTTGCATCTCTTGAGGTCTCTGTAGGGGCTGTCCGTGAGATCTCCAGAATTGCTCATGTAAAGCATAATGGTACCGAGCTTTTTTTTGTTTGCGCGATGAATGAGATAACGTATGTTATTTATACATCATGCGCGTGATCATGGTAGCCAATATATCTCGAGATCATCAGAGATATCTTCTCGAGGTTTCTGTAGGGGCTGTCCGTGAGATCTCGAGGAATTGCATACTGATTATGACATCGTGTGTACAGGAGCGGCGTGTCTCCGGTTGTCGTTCAATTGGAACTGGATATACGACAATGGCAGGAAGTGCAGCAGTGCTTGCGGTTGCCGACTTCAGATGAAGACGGTGTGCTGTTCAAGCGGGTGTCGGAGTATTTGGAGAAGGAGAAGAAGGTGCGCTGTCGTTCCATGAAAGCTGCATTCCCTGGCGATGTGGACAACATCAAGGAGTTGAAGTTGGATTGTTTGGAAGCTTCGGATGATGCAGAGAATGGTATCAAATGGAGATCCGACACGGAACGGAACTTGATGCAGTCGATTCCTGGGTGGACTGAAGGAACTCTGTGCAAGGCCGCTTTTGTGCCATTGAGTGCCATCCTTTTCGGCGCTGGCACTTCTGTTGTGGAATGTGTTCCGGAGGTGGATGTGGAAGGGGATGGTAATGCAGTTGTTCCTGACAGCACTGGCTCTTCATGTGTGGAAGTTGCTGAGGAGGCAGATGTGGAGATGGATGTTGCTGCGGGCATTGCTATGGAGGCCTTGCCAGAGAATTTGCAAGTTGCCAAGAAAGCATTTGCTGTGTTGGAAAATGTGAATATGAAGTTTGAGATCAAGCTGCGTGAAGTTGCGCAGATGTTGGACTGCAGTCCAGCTATCACTGCTATTGGTGAAGCGCTGTCTGGCCTTGTGTTATGGTCTTATGATGATGATGATGTTCAGAATCCGCTGGAGCGTTACCAGTGCAGACTGTGCAATTTTGGAACTGGCGGACAGAAAGAGTTTTTGGAACATTTAGTGGAGAAACACAGTGGAGGTGCCGATGCCAGCCGTGTGCTCATCGAGTATCGTAAGAAGGTCATTGGACTATTGACACACCTGGGCCCCACAGTTTCTTGTCTGCGCTGACCTTTTGTGGGATCGGGGTACTGAGCTTTTTGTAGCTATTTGTGTGGAATTTGTATCATAAACGGAGATAATAGTTTTAATTCACGGCGTCGTGGTACTGAGTTTTTTGCGTTTTGTATTTCTGTTAGCACGATCGGAGTAGGGTAGTGTAACATGTTTGATGCGAGATATCATGGTAGTGAAATTTGCTGATGATGTTTTGATGAAGTGATGCATCAGGTCACCAGCTTTGCTTCGCAACGTCGCCTCATGGAGAATGCTGATGAAAGGCTTCGACAGCCCGAGCAAGGAGGTCGCTTTGAAACTGCATGCGTGGTGTGTGCTCGCAGGTTTTGGCGGGAGCAGCTGAAGATGTTAATCTTATTCCAAGATCCGGCTGGCAGCACCGAGTTGGAGAACGGTGCGGTGGATGTGATTCCGTGTGGTCAACAGGAACGCTTGTGTCGAATTCTTGGAGTTGAAAGATACAGTCGAAGATGGCCGAATATCCCTTTGGAGGCTCTGCATGCTTCGGCTGTTGAACATCCATACTGCAAGGGGGAGCATTTGCTCTTACACAAGCGTCGGATGCCGGTGGACTTGAAGGACCCTTACCACTGACTGCACGGGTTTGTTGCTTTCATTGAGGGATCACGGTATACCAACTTGTTTGTAGCTAATTTTCTGTTCACGGCATCGGATTACTCGACTTTGTTTGGGTGAAGTTCTAGTAGTATGTTCGGATGTCACTGCAATTGCAGGATCCTTGCCTGGTGTGCAGTGACTGCAAGGGCTCGTTGATGTCATCTAGTCTGACGTTGCCTCGGCACAGCTTGGCCAATGACCTTTGGATGGGCGAGCAACTGTCCGCATTGCGTGGCCTGGCCTCGGCCACGAAGCGACTTTTGCCGATGACACGGGCGTGCATGCAGGTTGTGGTATTGCAGCCCGGGCATTTGTCGCGTGAGGAACGTCAGCATGGCTTTGTAGGGAATTCGATTTTTCTCCCGCAAGCGAAGCCGTCTTCAGTGCTGACCACGCTCCCTCCAAAAGATGTTGATATGCAAGATGCAGTTTTGTTTGTTTTGGTTGGAAGCCAGAAGGATGCAGTCAAGGGCTCTTCTTTGTTGCGTGCCCCGAGAGATGAGTACACTGCCGCTGTTGAATGTTTGAGGAAAACGAATCCTTTCTATGCGGAGGTGGAACTGGGAGATGGCAGTGATGATCTTTTGGAGGGCTGTGTCCTGGAAACTGCGGAGGATTCTGCATTGGCGCAGGAGTTGCTGCAGCGAGGTCCTGCAGACGCACAGGGACAAGACGCGTCGGATGATGAGAAGATGGACGATGCGAGTGAAGAAAAGCGTGAAGGCCTAGATGCACCAGGCAGGGTTCTGAATTGAATTTGGTTTTATTGATTGCTTCATGGTAGGGACTGTCCGAATGAAGCGATCGAAAACGATGTTAATATCGAGTTTTGCTTTGTAACGTCTGCCTTTCGGAACCATTTTGTTTTGTGTGGCAGAAAGTAAATATGGAAAACTCGCGCACACATTGCAGGTGCAGGTGATTGCTTCATGGTAGGGACTGTCCGAATGAAGCAGCGTGAAGGCCTAGATGCACCAGGCAGGGTTCCGAAGTGAATTTGGTTGTATTCATTGCTTCATGATAGGGACTGTCCGAATGAAGCGATCGAAAACGATGTTAATATCGAGTTTTGCTTTGTAACGTCTGCGTTTCGGAACCATTTTGTTTTGTGTGTGTGAAAGTAAATATGGAAAACTCACTCACGCAAACATTGCAGGTCATTTGATGTCTTCCATTGTTGGCTTGAACGATGGTGCGGATGAACAGAACAAGTGGGTGCGTGTGTTGAAGGATGTGGAGGAGGTCTGTGTGAGACAGGGTGGGCGGCGAAGGAGCGATGCTGCCGATGTGCTTCGCAACCGCATCAACAATGAAATGCCGGCCCCGGATGCATCTGTTCCTGGTGAACTTTTGGGTCGTGAAGGAGCCCAAGAGAGGCGAACACTTCAAAAAATTCGGAGAATTCAGAAGATTGCCCGTGGCACGGCTGAAAATGAGCGCAATGTGGAATCAGCTATGTTCCAAGTCAAACCTTCCAAGTTGGTTGTTCCGACCAGAGACGAACCGCTGTCGATGTTTGATCCGGCCACCTGGGGCATGTCGTTTCCGGATTTGTTTCCATGGGGTGATGGCTTGCCTTTTTTGAAGCGTGAAGCCAACATGGATGCAACAGAAGTGTTTCGATATTTGTTGCTTCGGGAAGAACTGCATTACAGTGAGGGTGATGCCTTGTTGCCAAGATGGTCGCTTTCAGTGCTTTGGATTTGGTTTATTCAATTGTTGCTGAGTTTTCTGTTTCCCCAGGATGGTTTGGTGGTTGTGTTTTGGTGGTTTCAGTTTTTGAGTTTGGTCGCCTTTGTTCCAAGTATGCGGGCAGGAGACGTTGCTTCCAGTGATGTACGACGTGCAGCGTCGATTACAGTTGATGCGTGCGACGAAAGCGCATGTGATGCGTCGTGGCTTTGGCAAACATTGTCGTGTTATTTCTGAAGTCAACACGGACCAATTGCTCAAGGCAATGGCATTGCATGGAGACAATGCGGACCTCAGGGAGTTGCTGCGAGATCCGCAGGTGGATGTGGCCTTGAAGCGAGCATTGGGAGGAGTGCTTCAGGCAACTTCGAGCATCATTGGCATGGAAGGGCACCGCAGCCAGATCCGGTTGCGTGGACATGCGGCTGGGTGGCATTATGGTTCTGCGCATCTGTTCGTCACGCCCAACATCGCAGATATGCGCTCGTCCTTGCTACTTCAATTGCACCTGCAGAATGTCAAAGTGGAAGAGTGCAAAATTGATTTGGACTGGGAGGCGGAGATGCCCGAATTGCCCAGCGCAGCTGCTATGCGACGGATTGTCGCGAGCGATCCCGTCGCTCAAGCGCGTTGCTTTGCCTTGATGATGGATTTGTTCTGTGAGGAAGTGTTGGGCATTCTTCCACCTTTGACCAAGGGAAGTTTTCGTGTTGGCGTGGCAGCAACCTTCGAAGATGGCATTGCGAGTTCCCTGCAAGGAGGTGTTTTCGGTGATATTGTGGCGTTGAACGGCCCGTTGGAGACTCAGGGTCGTGGTTCTTTGCACCCCCACATGCTTATTATCTTGCTGGGACACGACCTGGGAGATCGCTTGCGGAAACTGATTCATCGGGTGCAGCATGGTGAGTTGGTCGTTGAGTTGCAGCGGTGGAGTCGTCGTGTTTTGGAGGCTGTGCAGCGTTTTCAGTATGATTCTCAATTGGCCTTGTCGGAGCAGTTGAGCAGTCCGACACAGCCACTGCCTCTGAATGAACGTCAGCGATCAGAATGTGGTCACCAGTATGAATCCGCGCCTTTGGTGCCTACGGAGCCGGATGGACACGAATTGGAAGCCTTGAAGTTGGGCGGATCCGTGGCTGGCAAGGTTTTGACATTGACCGGATGCTATGCTTCTTTGCGACCCAAGTATCTGCGACGCAGTGAACGTTCTGCGGGAGATGGTCTTGAGTGGAAGAAAAAATTCTGTGAGGATTACAGACGTTTGGTGATCCAGAATCATTTTCACAAATGCACGAAATCATGTTTCAAAAAGTTCCTCGCAATGAGCTTGGCAAAGTTGTGGTGGTTGTTGTTGTTGTCGTTGTTGTTGTTGTTGTTGTCGTGGTTGTTGTTTTGGTTGTGGTTGTGGTTGTGGGTGTGGTTGTTTGTTTTTGTCGTTATTTTTGAGTTACGTGCGGTTTCGGCTTGGTCATGGCTTTTGTTGTTCGTTTACATGTTGCACGGTTGCTGTTACGGTATCAGTTAGCGTAAAACATTTTTGTGTAGAATGGAAAAGAGACGTCTGGAGTGTACAACGTGCATAGTTGGCTGTCAACGTGAAGAAGTATGTATATGTAAACACGACATGTTGCTTTGGCTGAGGAAAGCCGTGAAAGGCAAACGTGGGTGTCGCTTTGGTTGCTTTCACGTTGAAATGATTCTGGGCAAGGAGGACAAGCCGAAAGTGTTATGTCGGAAAGGTTGGCCTCGAGTTGCGAAAGCAGGTTTTTCTCGGTTGCAATATGAGACAGTAGATTTGAAGGAGGTTGAAGAGTTCAAAAACGAAAACCCGCATGTGTTTCAAGCTCGGCGTGATCACCCTTTTGAAGGGATGTCGAACCCGGTGGCGCAAGCAGTGATGCGATGCAATGTGGATGTCAAGTACATTGGACGCAATTTTTCAGAAGCAGACCTTTTGAAGTTTTGTGATGGGAGCATAGACCAGGAGCCTGGAGTCGAAGTTCCTGCTTCTGCATCTTCTCTGTTGGAACTGTCCGGGAGTGGATTGCAGGAGATGGAACTTCAACGCCCGGCGCTTGGTTCGTCTTCGGATGCTATATCGGGTGCTGATGCCTCACATGCAGAGCAACCTGTGTCGACTGAGTTGGATGCTTCGGATCCGCCGCCGAAGAAGCAATGCATGGGTCGTGTTTTGGACACGGAGCATAAGAAGATGCAGACGATGAGAAAGGCGCTTGAGCGCATTCTGGTGGACCTTGCAAGAGATATGATGAATGTTGGTTTTTACACTGGTGAGTATGCTGCAAAGAAGTTTGAAATTTCGCGGAGTATGTTACCTGAATTGTATGCAGGACTGTTTGCTTCGGGGCGGTCGAAACGGAAATTTTTGACGATATTTTTTCTTACCGACTTTGTTTTGCAGTATTTTGTGCAAATGTCCTTAGTAAAGTAATGTAACATATCTGATTTGGAACATCACGATACCGACTCCTTTTTTGAGGATTTGTATGGGAATTCCTACAATGAAATGAGATGGTATAGATTATTTTTTGGTGTGTGCCTTAATTTGGTTCTCAGTAAACGGCAACATTGAAGGAGTGCAGCGATTGGAAGAGGAGGAAAGGGAAAGGGCAAAGGAAGCTGCAGCGGCCTCCGAGCAGGAGCCCCTGGAGGGGGACAGGGACCCTACTATGACAGGGCAACAGAGGCGTGCATTGACGATTTTGAGAAGACTTGCCTTTGGAATGAATCGTTGTGTGGCCAAATCCAACGGTGAAATGGCGTATCAGATGTTATTCGAGCAGGAGCAACTGGTGACGTATCGTGGCTACAACATGTTCTTCCGCTATGTGCCGTATGCAATCATGCGTTGCAGACATGAGGACATGGAGGAGGTTTTGCAAGCTAGGCCGCATCTCAATGGCTCGCCCTTGGATGTGCTTCCTGACCCCGAAGGAGAGGCACCAGTGGTGGTGGATGAGTTTGCGGAGGTTGTTGATGAGGGAGGTGATGTGCCTAGAGTCCAGCAGGTGCATGTGAACTTCAACCAGAAAGACGATTACTTGCACAGGGGCTCTTCGGTTTTGTTGCAATGCATGTCTCTTTTGATGTATTCTCGCTTCGTTCGCAGAGTTTCGAGGAACAAAGCCGGCAAGGTGGATGGAGTGAAGTTTTTCGACTTTGATGAGCACTATGCCCACTTCAGTTCCTCCGTTCAGGATTGCTTGCGGTGGGTGGTTCTGTTTTTTTTTTCGTTCTTACTTTGTTTGGTGTCTTTAAGTTTGATATTTGGAAAGTGTTAACAAGTTCGGGTGAAGTTGTTTATTTCTGTGTTGAGCTGAAATTCGCAGGAAGTGAGAGCAGCAGATGACAGTGTTGTGGTGCCTTCAGATTTGCACCTTCCGAAGGATGCTGAGGTGCAGAAGTACGCAGCTCACATGTTGGGATTATCTTTTCCATTCCCAACGTGTTCTGGAGATTGCAGTTTGTCACATCGATGCTTTGCTTGCCACACCATGGAAGAAGATGCAAAGCAAGGCGTTCTTTTTGCTCGTTTTACGCTGCATTGGAAGCACTGGAAAAGTTACATGTCAATGAGGAGGTGTTTGGCGGAGGAAAGAGTTTTGGCCGGTTTGTCTGCTCCGGTCATCCGGGATGTTGCATCATCCGGGATGTTGCATCAGTGCGTTCCTATGTTGCTGGCATTGGTGACACCAGCAGTGCTTTTAGATGTTTGGAGAAGCTGTTCGGTGGAGCAGAAGGAGCGGATTGTCGCTATCATGACATGCTGCGCATCTGTGAGCGCGTTGCCTGGTTCGCAGACTTGTCCGTTCCGTTTCATTACACTCAGTTGACATCGCAAGAGTTCTTGGCCTATATTCAGACATCGTGGTTGGAGCGTTTCCAGCAGCACTGTGCTGCACGTCGTCTCAGCAGCAGTCGTCGGACAGCTGAGCGTTATGCTTTGATGACTGCTTTGGACAAGGAGGAGGACCTGGAAGATGATTCGGCACCGCCGGTTATAGAAGGACACGAGGTCGAGGATGATCTGCTATTGCAAGAAGAGTTGGACAACTTGGAACGTGCGCAGTGGCCGGTGGATGGAGAAGCATTGCACGAAGCTATGTTTCGGGAAGAGGATTGGATGAAGGTGTTGGGCAATCGAAAGCCATCTGTATTGCAGGACATGGTATCGAGCTTTTTGGGCGATGTTCGTGGGAATTTCCCTGATAAAAGGAGATGATATATGTTTTTCGCAGCATCATGGTACTAAGCTGTTGTTGTGTAACGTTGTTGATGATTCATCTTTCAGCGGGTGTGAGATGTGCCGAATAAAGCATGATATGCCTTGTGTTGCAACATGCGTTGTTTGCTGCATCATGCTAGCAAGCTGTAAGTAGTCATCCGTGTGGAAAATGTCTACTAAAAGGATATGATACGTTCCATGATCACCAGTATGTGGTACCGAGCTTTTGTGATATGGCCTTGTTGACGAGAACATATGTTACCGACAAACAATCATGTAGCTGCGGTGCTGCAGGATGCGTTGCAGCGTTTGCGTGACTTTGTGAATGGTTTGGGAGGTGTTCCGGATGCGAGGATTGATTTGGGAATCAAAGGCAACGCAGCCAGTGGATTGGAGCGTAATTGGACGTTCGCCGAAGCCCAGAGGTCTTTGATGCTGCAGAAGCAATATTTGGAATTTTGCGTTGGAGGCGGAGCTTTGTGGTTGTGGATGAGTTTTGTTTTGTTTTTCTTTTTTGTCGTTGTAACATATAGCTGATTTGCTGAATATGTCAGTTCTGTTGTTTTTTTTTCGGGGGGGGGGAATTTTGTTTGCTTGTTGTGTTCTCGTTGGTGGGTCTTCATGCAGCAGGTGGTGAAGAGGATACTGAGATGATGGCAGATCATGTTTTTCGGCCTTTGCCAGAGACGGAAGATGCCTTTTTGGTGGAGCTGAACCAGAGGAATGTGGGTCCGAGTGATTATGCTTCTGCCTTGCTTGTGGAGCACAGTCTGAATCGCCAACAGATTTTGGCCATTGCGCCCATTGCTTGGGTCATGGAACAGATGTGGCTTAACCGAAGCAATCCGGACAATTGCATTGCGGATGGTGCGTGCAATGAAAGGTGCAATTGTCTTTGGCTCGGAGCTGGTGGATCTGGAAAGACGTATGCATACAGCAAAGTATTGAGGCCACTCTTTCGACGCTTCTTTGGACAGGATGGTTATGTTGCTGGTGCTCCGACTCACGCTGCTGTTCGCCTCCTGGGGCCTGAGGCCAAAACTTTGCACAAGTGGGCCAATGTGCACAAGAGCAGCAGCTTGGATCGCCGCTCCTTGCGTTCGGCGAAGAGCAAGGGCAGCCCGATCGAAAAGAAGATCGAAGGCATCATGGCCATGCTGTTGGACGAGTTGTCGATGGTTCCTTCGGATGTGTACCATGCTGCTTCGCTTCGATTTGCCACTGTTCGACAAGCTCGACTTATGCTTGACATGGGCGATTACTTGAAGCAGTGGTTTGGGAAGGTGCCCATTGGTGTGCAAGTTGCTGACTTTCTACAATTGCGACCCACTGCGCAAGCATCCTTGTGCGAATGGGTGGATGCGCCACGAGCTACTGATCCTGCACCGCCTCAAGACCAAGAAGACCAAAGCGATGCCGAAGAGGCCGTGGAGAAGGAGGCGGCTGAACGCACCAGCAATGCCTCAGAACTTGGACGGATCGCGTTCAAGCAATCGCTTCAGCGAGTTGTGCACTTCACTGGATCCGGTCGTTTTTCGAAGTGTGCATCCGGACAGCAGCTTGTGAGGATTCTTTTGTCCATGCGGCGAGGCGAACATCTGGAGGATGCATTGTGGGGAGCTTTGGAATCTCGAGTGATCAGCCGAGAGCAACTTTTTTCTGACAATTCCTTGCGCTCAAGGTTGTTGAGTGCTCACTGGGGCGGCCTGGCGTGGGAACAGGTTGCTCGTTTACAGCATTTGCGGGTGGCTTGGGAAGCTCAACAGAGGTCCACGACTCTTTTCTTGGTGCAAGCTATTGATCGTGCATCGGGGCCCACAGATTTGACAAGGGAGCAGAGCCTGAAGGCATTGCAGGTTGTGAACATGACAAGAACGCAGTATCTCATGGGCATTTGCCCTTTGTATGAAGGGATGGCAGCACGTGTTAGTTGCATTTTGGACATGCCGATGCTGAGTCGAGAGTTGCCGGTCATTGTTCGCTCCATTAAGTTGCACCCGAAGGAACCTGTAATTTCAAACAGCAGTGGACGTGTCGTTTTGCAATATCAGCCGTTGGCCGTCTTGGTCGAGATCGATGACCCGGAATATCGTGCCATTGAATTGCCAGATGGCAGTGCTCCGAAGGGACACGTTTGGCTGCGTCCCGTTACATGTGATCAGGCCTGGGATCTTCCTCTTGGGGGCAATCAATTTATGCAGGTTCATCGCAAACAGTTGCCACTGGCACCTCGTCACGTTCTCACGCACTACGGTTTGCAGGGCATCACTGCCAGACAAGGGCTGCTTGCTTTCATGTCCAAACCGTCCTGGATGAGTCAAGCGGACTATGGCTTGGCTATGTACGTGATGTTGTCAAGGCCAACCAAGCTGGAAGATCTGTGGATAGTGGATTTGCCGCCTCGCAATGTGTTCGAAAAGTTTCTGCACGAACACAATCCTCTTTTGGTGCAGCGGATGCGGGAGTTTGAAGGTCAGGCCTGCGTGGACGAGCGGAAGGCGCTGAAGTATGTGCATAGACTTTCATGGCAGTGCATCCCTTGGGTGTCACAGCATTTGTCTGCAGATGAAATGTCTGCTGATCTTTTTGCTTAGCATTGCTGGCGGGGAGCTTTGTCAGCTGCCATGTAGCGTTGTTTAGATTTACCGGATGTCTTTGTTCGACATGGTCATCTTATTTCGACGGTATACTACACTGCGACCTGACGTATGTTTCTCGCGGTAGGGACTGTCCGAGCGGGGAGCAGGCGTTGCGTCATGAAATTAGAGTTAGAAGATGTAAAACATGACCCAACGTATGTTTCTCGCGGTAGGGACTGTCCGAGCGGGGAGCAGGCATTGTATCATGAAATTAGAGTTAGAAGATGTAAAACATGACCTGACGTATGTTTCTCGCAGTAGGGACTGTCCGAGCGGGGAGCAGGCGTTGCGTCATGAAGTTAGAGTTAGAACATGTAAAACATCTACCTGACTTCAAAGGCATCCCGTAAAACTGACATTAGATTAACACTGGAGCCGGCACGTTCGTTGACTGTCATCTCTCGATCTCTGCACACAGCATTTACCTTGATGAAAAAGAGAAATGCACTTCGCTGTGAAGTTGACTGATGATCGACTTGCTGTGTCGTGTTGACAATGAAACTGACCTGATGCTGGTTTCGCAGTGCAGTTGATGTATTTATATATAGCATGTGTATTGTTTGGATGTTCGCCATTCTTTGATAGACGTTGTTCGTGAAGCAGCAGTTGAGTCTTGAGCTTGTAGGTCATTCGCCAGAGGATGGTGCTTTCTTATCGCAAGCTTCGGAGTCGCGATCCCAGTCTCGAGCTTCAGCGAGCATGCTTTGTGTTGCTCCATGGGAATTCATTGTTTCACGTGCAGACCTTGTTGACCTCTTTGCTCCATAGATGTGAATCAAACATTCCGGGGCTCAGATGGCAGGAAATGGACAAGACAAGAGTGACGCATGGGGAAACAAAATACCATGCGGCATGAGCAAACAGTGTAGGCATGCTTGACAAGACACCCCCAACAGTTGTGGCATTTTTCGAAATTTTTGAAGGGACCGTCCGTGAGATCTCAAGATTTGAAACTGCCCGATGATGTTCTCCAACATGTAGTCATTGGAAATTTGAGACATAGCCTTTCTCTTTTCAAGTGTGCCGCCATGTCGTTGGAGTCTGGATCTCTACACGGAACATTTACCTTGATGAAAAAGAGAAATACACTTTTCTGTGAAGTTTATCGCCTTGCTGTGTTGTATGATCGACTTGCTGTGTCCTGTTGTCAAAAGGTTAACGTTTAGTGATGCCGAACTTTCATGTGCTCCAGGTGTGTTGCTTCCTTGCTGTTTGGCACTCAATGTTTTGTTATCAATTCTTTTGTGGACATGTCCATGATGATTGTTTTGTGCACAGAGTGAACATTCTTATTCCCATATGTACGCTGAATGTTCGTGAAACAAGTGATGATCGGAACGCATGGTTTTTGACAATGAAAATGATCTGATGCTGGTTTCGCAGTGCGGTTGATGTATTTATATATAGCATGTGTATTGTTTGCATGTTTGCCATTCTTTGATAGACGTTGTTCGGGAAGCAGCAGCTGAGTTTTGAGCTTGCAGGTCGTTCTCCAGAGGATGGTGTCTTCTTATCGCAAGCTCAGGAGTTGCGATCCCAGTCTCGAGCTTCACAGAGTATGTTTTGCGTTGGTCCATGCTAATTCACTGTTTCACGTTCAGACCATGTTGACCTCTTTGCTCTATAGATGTGAATTGATCATTCCTTGTCTTAGATGTGAGCAAATGGACAAGACAAGAGTCACGCATGGGGAAACAAAATACCATGCAGCATGAGCAAATAGTGTAGGCATGCTTGACAAGACACCCCAACGGTTCTGGCATTTCTCGAGATTTTTTGAGATTTCTGAACGTGGTTCGATCCTGTGCGGGCCGATCTTGATCTGCCGCCATTTTTAAGTCGGGACCTTGAAGGTTTCGTGACGCTGAAATTTCGCCTCCTTGAAGTATGCTCTTTCCGTGCCGTCTGGAACATGTGTTTGTTTTCTCAGATCGACGCGAAATGCTGAGGTGGCACTGGGATCATGGTTTTTTTCATGTGAAGGACCGTCAGAATTTGAAGCAACTGTGTGCTGTTAGTGTCAAAATGTCATCATTTCGATTGAAAGAACAGTCGGGCCGATCGAATTCTTGGCATTTTTTGAGTTTCAACCTTGAAAACATTGCTGCCCCCCGGGGCTCAAGAAACTGTTCTCGAGGTTTTTGTAGGGCTTGTCCGTGAGACTTCGTCACTCGCAATGGTCTTATCAGAACTGCGGACGTGGGTAGGTCTGAGCGCTGCCGATGCGGTGAGCCTTTTCGAGGAACGTGTGGAGATCGAGCCACATTGGGGCGGTCGTTGGGGCTTGAAGCCGTCGGCGACGGAGGTGCGGACATGTAGTTCACAACGTGGTCCATTTTCAATTGTACGTCATGTTTGATAGTGTTCCTTGGGCATGTGAATGCAGGCCATTCTGCGAGCACAGCAAAGTGATCCAGCGGGTGCTTCTGCCAAGGAGTTGGAAGCACACGAAATTGTCTTCACACCCGTGGGTGTGTTGAATTTGGTGGTCTCTTAGCATTTGCTGCTTTTGGGTTGGGTGTTTGTTCGTGTTTGTTATTTGCCGTGTCATGTTTGTGATTGTAGCTTTTTGTGTTCTTTGATGTTTCATGATTGTTTTTCAGTTTTGTGCATTTTCGGATGTTGTCGTCTAAGGCTGAGGGCAAACTGTGGCAATTCGAGAACTTTCCGGGATACTTTCGATTGTTCGACAAGTTGTCTGCGGAGAAAGTGGGGCCGGACGGCACATTGTATTATACAGTGATGCCGACTGCGTATGCCATCCAGTGATGTGGAGGGACAACGTGCTGTAGGGTCTGTCCGTGCATGTATCCTTCTGCTTCTCGGGCCTCTGTGAGCCCATTTGTTTTTTTTGCCATGCAGTGATGTGGAGAGACAACGTGCTGTAGGATTTGTCCGTGCATGTATCCCTCTGCTTCACGGGTCTCTGTGAGGCCATTTGTTTTTCACCATCTGTTAACAACATGTGGAACTGTTGTTGGCGATGTGGACAATCCTGGACGTCATGCGAGAGAAACACAGAGTTCTGCGAATTGATGCGCGGGACAGTATATAGGTTGTTTATCATCTGATGCGATTGGGAAAGTGACATCTTCCATTAGGCTTGATCAACAGGTGTCACACTTGAAGTTTTTACTTACAAATTGCATGTGCGTCTTTCGTTGCCATGTCTGTTGTTAATGTTTTTTGTCACAGTTTGTCTTTTGAAGGACTTGGCATTCTGCAGAGTCTTCTATGCTGCTGAGGGGATTTGAATGTGCGTGATGCTCGCTTACCTTGAACTCATGAAGATGACGGATGTAGTTTATAGCATCATGGTACCGGCTTTTGCTTGTTTTTGTTGGCAAACTGTGTGGGAAATCGTCTATTCAAATGAACAACATGTGGTTTTAGTTGGGAATTCACGGTACCAGATTTCTTTGAAATGTGTTGCTTTGACGTGTTCATTGCAAGCTTCACTGTTCAGTTTGCAGGTCTCGGCGACAATCGTGCCCATGTCCAGTGTCAAACTTAGCAGTTGTGCTTCGAGTTTCGAAGTGCGAGTGCGTAGCCAAGTGTCAAACTCATGAATTGTTTTCAGTTTCGAAGTCCATGATGATGCAACACGGAACAAGCATAGTGCACCTCTTTACTTCTTTACCTCTTTTCTGGGCTCAGACGTGAACGGAAAGACAAGATGCATTGTGCACGGAGGAAACAAGTGACGGTTGGCAAACAGTTATCTTTAACATTTCTTGCACTTCTCGAAGTTTCTGTAGGGGCTGTCCGTGAGATCTCGAGAATTGCATTTTGGTAATGTCAGTGTTTGTTTATTACGATGCAGTGGATCTATGTGATGTATAACACGAAAAATATATGTGATGTTTTCATTGAAATGCATGAGTAGTGGACAAAAAAAACATATTACGGGAAGCATTGTAGCGTTCAATGTTGTACCGTTCAATTTTGTCAAAACGCATGAACAGTGAACAAAACAAATTATATGGGAATCATCGTACCGTTCAATTTTGACGATCGGCCATTTTATATCTTGGACATTTGTTGCACTTCTCGAGGTTTCTGTAGGGGCTGTCCGTGAGATCTCGGGAATTGCATTGTGATGATGTCAGGTTTTGGTTACGATGCCGTGGATCTATGTGATATATAGCACAAAAAAATATATGTGATGTTTTCATTCATTTCAATGCAGCAACAGTGGAAAAAAAGTACGGCAATCATTGCGTATTTAATTTTGTCTCGGCCGCGACTCAATGGCCGCGTGGAGACCGCCGGAGGATGAGGAAGTGGCCTGGGTGTTGGAAGTTCTGGGCTGCAAGCGATCCCATATTGTGGACATGTCGGAGGATGAGTTCCGATACATTTTGAAGCCGCGGCGGAAGCAAGTTGCATTGGCACTGCATCCGGACAAGCAAGACGATGAGAGAAGGATGATGGCGGAGGCTCAAATGAAACGCTGGAATGTGGCCTGGGAGAGACTGATGCGTAGTGTTCCGCGACAGTTCAAAGCAGCTGGTGTAGACGTCGTCCCGGCGCGAACTCAAGCTGCGCTGAATGCTCATCCTGGGATGTGGGAAGAGCCCTGGCGTGTTCCTCCTTTGTTGGTTCGGCAGTGGAGACGCAGAGGTGCAGGGCATCAGGAGTCTGAATCAGGAGATGGCGTTCCAAGTGGTTCGCAACAGCCTGGCGCGCAGTCTGCACAGGCAGGAACGGGTACCGGTGCTACTAGTTCGGATGGTGGTATGCCCAGTGCTTCAGCGGGCAAGGATCCAGAAGGTGATGCTGGCACTTCGCAGTCGGATTCGACCAAGGCTTCGGAGCCTTGCACTGGTACGCCTCACTGTGTTGATTTTGATACTAGGCATGGTGCCGTTCCTGCTCAAAAATTGCTCGAATACAAGTTTTTGTATTCCGCACATGGAAAATGCGTTCAGTGCATGGATTACTACGCGAGGCAG